TCTCTCGCTGCTCCCTCCCCCTCGGGGGGGACCCGCGGCCCTGGGCTCTCCCTGTGCCCGTCTCTGCCCGTCGGGGGCAGGGGCTGGCCTGGCCTCGTGTCTCTATGGCTCCCATCTGAGGGACAGGACTGGAGCCTGGGGTGCTGCCAATACCCCAGCTACCGGCCCTCACCTCGGCGGTGGCAGATGGCACGAAGCCCTTGCCAAGGCCACGGAGGGCAAACTTGGTGGCATTCCAGAGCTTGTTGCAGAAGTGGCGGTAGCCCAGTATCCGGTTCACGTCCAGGTTGATGTCCCGACCTGGGTGCGGGTTGAAGCGTGAGTCTCGCCATTTTCCCCCAGCCCACAGGCACCAGAGACCCAGGGCAGGGCGGACGGGGTGGCCCTCTCAGCAGGAGGAAGGCCGTGGCTGAGGGAGTCCTGGCGGCCATACCCTGGGACGTGTAGGCGCAGAGTCCAAACCGGAGCGCGTCGGTGCCACACTCAGGGATCCCCGCCGGGAAGTCCGCCTTCTGCCAGGAGGACGCAGGGGAGGCACGTCCTCAGCGGCCCTGCCTCTTCTGCCCACGCTCAGCCCCTACCAGGGTCCCCCTCTGTACCTGCCCTTCCTTAGCCTTCTCCACCTCGCTGGGATCCAGGTTGCTGTTTAGTAACTGGTCATGGAGGCCCTGAGGGCGGAGGCGGGGGAAGTCAGGCAGCCATGGCTACAGCCCCAGGGTCCTTCCCAGCAGGCCCAGTGCCCTGCCCACCTGCAGGGACACTCCGTGGATGACATCCAGGGGGTCGATGACGTTGCCCAGAGACTTGCTCATCTTCCGGCCATGGGCGTCTCGCACGATAGCGTGGAGGTAGACCTGTGGGGCAGGGGAAGGAGGCCCCTGAGCCGAGGCCCCGCCGCCCTCTGCCTGTCCTCCACCAAGACCTGGAGTCGGGTCTGCCCCACTCTGAACCTCAGGCCTCTCTGAGTGTCCTCCCAGCACCCTAAGTGAATTAGAAATTTTCCCTCCTCCGGGAAAGTGGAGCCCAGGGTGGATTCCAGCCCCTGCCGTCCCAGGCCAGGCCTTCCCACAGCTATTCACGGGCCCAGCCAGGCCCACCCACGCCGAGCCGGAGCTACACAGGAGGCCCGCGGGGGAGCGGAGGAGGGTCTCTCTGTCTTCACCTCTTTGAAGGGCAGCCGGCCAGTGAGCTTCAGGCCGAGCATGACCATCCGGGCCACCCAGAAGAAGAGGATGTCGTGGCCGGTCTCCAGCAGCGTCCCCGGGTAGAACACACTCAGGTCTTCTGACTAGGAGCAGATCGGGGTGAAATAGAAGCCGAGTGCCCACCTTCAAGTCCCCTTTCACCCTGGCCTGGCCCTAGGAACATACCTGGTTGGGCCAGCCCAGAATGGAGAAGGGGAAGAGGCCAGAGGAGAACCAGGTGTCCAGCACGTCCTCATCTGTGTGAGGCCAGAGGGCAGAGGGCAGAGGGCAGAGGCGGAGGCCTTCATCGGAGCCTCGACTCTGCTCCTCCACCCCACCAGGGCCCCTGCTTGCCTTGCTGAAGGCTGATCTTGTCAGGGGACACTCCGAACTCCTTGGCCGCCTTCTCCCGGGCTTCCGCCTCACTGCGTCCGCTCACCCAGTACCGCCCGTCGGGGTCCTGCCGCAGAGTGAGTGAGTGGCAGGGAGCCCCTCCGCCTCGCCCTGACCAACAAGCCCGTTCCCCCATGTCTCACATCCTGCCCGGCCGCCTCACCTCCCCAGGGGGCACGGCCGGGTCATTGACGGTGATGAAGTAGGCCGGGATCCGGTGGCCCCACCACAGCTGCCTGGAAATGCACCAGTCCCTGAAACGGGATCGGGGAGTCAGGGCAGGCCCGAGGCCCGCAGCTGTGCCCTGCCTCCCACACGGAGCTGGGGATGCTGTGCCCTGGGTACCGGATGTTGTCCATCCAGGCATGCCACGTCCGCTGATGGGCCTCGGGCAGGATGCGGAGGTCGCCCCGGGTCACGGCAGCGCTGGCGGCCTGGGCCATCTCCCCGCAGCGCACGTACCACTGCGGCCGCAGCAGGGGCTCCACCACGTCCTTGGAGACGCCGAAGTGCACGTGGGGTTGGGGGACCAGGCAGCGAGCACCCCGCGGAGCCCCGCCCGCCTGCCCCAGCCCTTCCTCACTTGCAAAGCGGCACCACCATGGGGTTGTCCTGGATGCCACGGAACAGGCCCCGCTCCTTCAGTGCTGCCAGCACGGCCTTCCTGGCCTCAAACCTGGGCAGGCCCTGGTGGAGGGGGCGTCGTCACGGTGATGCCTGGGCATCCCTCCTTCCCACCAAGGGGGACCAGCCGTCGGGGCAGCCTCACCAGGAAGGGCGCAGGCACGTTGACAAGGGCGCCGCGGGAGTCCATGATGCTGACGGCCTCCAGCCTGTGCCGCTGCCCCACCTCGTAGTCGTTCTGGTCGTGTGCCGGGGTGATCTTCACCGCACCTGTGGGGGGCTGGGTCAGGGGCTGCAGGGAGCTCTCCCCGCACGCGCCCCTACTGCTGGGGACGTTCCTGCCAACCACTCCCCTAGCTCCACGGCGGGAGCCGGCCCAGTCCCGCCTGCTCGGCTGAAGCTTATGTGGAGAAGGCGGAGGCTGGGTGTGCCTCGCGGCCGGTCTCCCTTCTCCCAGGACCAGCCCGCGCTCACCCGTGCCAAACTCCATGTCCACGAAGTCGTCAAAGACAATGGGGAGACTCCGAGACAGAAACGGGTGGACCACGCTCTTGCCCTTCAAGTGCTGAGGACAGGGACACACTGACGATGCGCAAAGGGCTGGCCCGCGTCCCTCCTGCCTGGGCCCTGACTGCCCAACGCCCGAAGGCCCCACACGGTCACTGACGGCCCCACCTTCCTCTCAGCCAGTCGCCCCCGAGGGCAGGACGCCCTCCCGCCAGCACTCTCCCTCCTGGGGCAGAGCCCTGCCCACCTGGTATCTGGCATCTTTGGGGTGCACGGCTACAGCCACATCTCCCAGCATCGTCTCGATCCGAGTTGTTGCCACCACCACCTCCTCGTCACTGTCTGGGGTGACAGAGACCTTGCAGTCCTGCCCTGCCCCTCCCCCACTCCATCCACCCAGCCCGGGACATGGTGCCCCCACCTGAGCCGTGGACCTTGTAGGCAAAGGACACGAGCACCCCAAACTCCACCTTCTCCTTGTAGCCAGGCACAGAGAGCAGGGTACGACCGCTCAGCTCCTTCTTGTCCACCTGGAAGACGGTATTTAGAGGAGACCCAGCGGCTGGGGCTGGGGCTGGGGCTGGGGCAGACTGGAGCTGCAGCGGCCGGGGGTGGGGCTACCTCGATGTCAGAGATGGCGGAGTTGAGGGTGCAGGACCAGTTGACCAGGCGCGTGCTGCGGTAGATGACGCCCTCCTCGTGAAGCCGGACGAAGGCCTCCGTCACGGCTGCTGAGAGTTTCTAGTTCGGGGCACGGAGCAGTCAGTGACGGCCGTGGGGTCTGGGGACCTCGGCCCAGGGAGGCCCAGCTGCCGAGTCCCACACACAGACCCCTGAGAGAAGGGCGAGGTGCTTCTCCTGAGGGGGAGGGGACAACGGGACACCTAGCAGGCAATAAACCCGGGGACGGCACTCGGCTGGGGACACTGCTGGCGCAGTCCCGGACACGAGGACCCCGGGACACCGGGGCTCAGGCTCCATGGAGGGGGAGGCCTGATCGCGAGCTGCCTGGAGAAATGTGGGGCTTCTGGAGCAGGGACGGGGAGGAGGGTGTCGTGTCAGGGGACTGGCCGCTTGTGGGGGCAGTAGCACACGTCCGTCTGCATGGGTGCCCACCCCGGGGCCTCCCCCAGCCCCAGCCCCAGCCCCGAGACCTCCCACGCACAGGGTCCATGGTGAAACAGGCTCGATCCCAGTCCAAGGAGCTGCCGAGCTTCTTCAGCTGGTGGTAAATCCGGTCGCCCTTCCTGGAAGCGGACACACAGGCCAGGATCAACATTTGGGGAGACACTGGGTGGCTGACTGGCCAGTGTGGGGATCACCGATCCCCCTAAAATCGACATAGGCTCTGGAGCCGTGACCCTCCGGCACTGTGAGAGGGCCTAACCCTGGCAGGGGTCAAGGTAAGACGTCTTTCTGGGCAGGGCACAGGGAGCAGGGCTGTGCTGCCCACAGGGACGCTCCATACTTACTCCCCCTTCCACTTCCAGACCTCCTGCAGGAAGGCCTCACGGCCCAGCTGGTGCCGGTTCAGGCCCTGCTCACGCCACAGCTTCTTCTCTACCACCACCTGGGTGGCGATGCCCGCGTGGTCACAGCCGGGGTTCCACAGGGTGGTCTCCCCACGCATGCGGTGCCTGTGGGGGGCCACGGGGGACAGAGGGTAAGCCGGCCTGGTGGAGCCTGGCGCTAAAGGAGACAGAAGCTTCTGGGAGGGAGTCAATGCATTCTTAGGGAGGAAATAGAGGGTGGTAGAGCTGGACCCTCCTGATTCTAAAACCACCAGGGAGAGATCTGCAGGAAAAGCCAAGGCATCTAGAAAAAGAACAGAGGTCTGGCCCAATTATGCAGCAAAACATTTCAGTAAGTTGTGATTTTTTTTTTTTTTTGAGACAATTGTGCTATAGGGCACATGTGCTTGCCAGAGACAGAAAGTGAGAAGTCATCCCAGGGGGGATGGCCACACTGCAATCCCTTCTCCATTCTCCTCTCGGGTGCACACACACGTGCCCAGTATAAGTTTCAAGCCTCCAGGTCCGAGACTCGAACTGCGGTCAGCGATGTAACCTTATACCATCCTCTGGTCCCGTAAGTTGCAATTTTTAAAATAAATGAATGATAATGGCTTAGGGAAACAAATCTGGTTTTGTCTGAAAAGAGATTCAAACAAATACAGTATTTGTGAAGAGCGGCATCTCACTATCAGTAGGGGAAGGCTGAACTAGTCAATAAACGCATTTGGGACAATTAGCCCAATATTTTAAACAAATCTCCCTACTTTCTGTTATTCCCAAAAATAAACTCTAGACAGATCTAGAACACAACATAAGAAAACAACACTAGGGCCAGCAGGTGGCATGGTGGTTAATGTGCTGGACTCCCACACAGCTGACTATGGTTTGAGTCCCAGGCCTGGTGGCTTGCTTTCTCACTTTCTCTCTCTCTCTCTCTGAATCTCTCTCTGGTGAGCACACACGCCTTTATGGCAAACGTAAAAAAATAATAAGAAAAATAAGAAGAAAATAAAGAAAAAAGAAAACAAAGCTATGAAAAAAATTAGAAAATGGCAATCTCCTTAAAAAAGGAAAAGAACACAGGTAAACACATTTGTAACTTGGAGACAGGCAAAGGTTTCTGTAACAAAGACACAAAAGCTAAAGTCACAAAGAGCAACAATGGCAGGCTTGGCAGGTGGCATGGTGGTTAAAGGTGCTGAACTCCCACACGGCCGACCTCATTGTAGTCACAGACGTAGTGGCTTGATTTCTCACTTTCCATCTCTCTCTCTGTCTCTCTCTGGTCAAATTAAAAAAATAAATTAAAAAAGTAAAGTTGAATAATATAATTCTTTAAAGTAAAAATAAAAGGACCAGCAGGTGGCCTCCATAGGAAAGATATTGCTGTCTCTCTGGTTCATCTCCTGATTAATTTCCTGTCACATTACTGCATTCGTATTCTCCAGAAGGATCTAGCATGTGTGTTTTAACTTTTCTTGGAGTTTTTGTTTCAAGATTTTCTATTGATCTGGTCAGTTTACCATGGTTGTTCCTTTTAAATTTTTTAAAATTTAAGTTTATTTATTCTTAATTTGACCAAAGAGAGACAGAGAGAGGAAGAGGGAAAATGAGAAAGCAAGCCACCAGGTCGGAGACTCAAACTATGGTTGGCCAGGGACCAACAGTTGGCGTAATGGCTATGTCGCTGGACTCCCACATAGTCGACCGCAGTTCGAGTCCCAGACCCGGTGGCTTAAACTCACTCTGGGCGCGTGTTGCGTGCGTGCCCAAGATCTCAAGAGGAGAATGGAGGAGAAGGGATTGTGGCAGGGCCATCCCCCCCGTGGGGTGATTTCTCAATTCCTGTCTCTCTGGCAAGCACACTGCCCTATAGCAAAAACTCTCCAAAAGAAAAAGAGAGAGGTTTTTGCTATAGGGCACGTGCGCTTGCCAAAGACATAGAGACAGAAATTACCCCCCAGGGGGGATGGCCACGCTGCAATCCATTCTCCTCTCAGGATTTTGGGCACATGCACATGCGTGAGTTTTGAGTCTCTGGGTCCAGGACTCAAACCCTGAGTGCAGCAATGTAACCATGACATCATCTGCTGGTCCTGAGACCTTTTAGTATTACTTGGGGCATTACAGTGAGGGGAGAAGAAATTACTATAGAAAGAATAACACCGTATGTAAACATTTCTTTCTTTTTTTTTGAGAGGTTTTCGCTATAGGGCGCATGCGCTCACCAGAAAGACAGAGACAGAGAGACACAAAGCGAGAAATCACCCCCCAGGGGCATGGCCACGCCGCAATCCCTTCTCCTCCATTCTCCTCTCGGGATCTTGGGCACGCACGCACACACACGTGCCCGGCGTGAGTTTAAGTCACTGGGTCTGGGACTCGAACCACGGTCGACTATGTGGGAGTCCAGCTACATAGCCATTACACTAACTGCTGGTCCCTAGACATTACTTTCAATGATGTACTAAACAATTATGTTCTTTACTTTACAGGCCTGTTTATCTCCACTACATTTAGACTGTAGCCACTCTCCTCTCCTGAGACAGCAGGCACTCAGGGTGTGTTGCTCACAGGCCTCAGAAAACACAAACAGGCCAGCCAAGGCCGTGGCTAAGGTGCCTGGATCCCACATGGGTGACTGCAGTTCCAAACCCAGTGGCTTGAAAAACATGCCAGACACTGGACACATGCATGTGTGCTCAAAATCCTAAAAGGAGAAATGGCAGGAAGGGACTGCAGTTTGACCCTCCGCCCAAGGGGACACTTCCTCACTTTCCCTCTGTCTCCCCGTCTCTCTCCGGTGAGCACACTACCCTATAGCAAATAATTAAAAAAAAAAAAAGGAAAAAAAGAGAGAAAACGTGAACATACTTTATACATTCCAATTAGAGATTACTATTAAAGAAAAGTGTTGTTGCAGTTCAAGTATCTCTTGGGCTTATATAAACTTGGAAAACAATCACTAAACTGTCATGAAGATTTGTAGAAGGGCACCCTCTTCTCAGGACCAGCAAATGGCGTAATGACTACACTGCCAGACTCCCACATGGCCGACCACGATTTGAGTCTGGACCCGGCAGCTTGAAGCTTACGCTGGGTGCATACCTGCACCCAAGATCCTGAGGGAGCCTGGAGGAGAAAGGACTGCAGTGTGGCCATCCCCCCGGGGATGTCTCTGTCTCTTCAGTGAGCGCACACGTCCTATAGCAAAAAATCTCTCTTTAAAGAAAAAAAAGAAAAGCACCCTATTATCTACACAAGGAAATTAAAAAAAAAAGAAAGAAAGAAAACACAGATATATAACTTGCTTATATATCAAACATGTGTGTGTATATTCTTTTAAAAAGAAGTACTGGGCCCGGCAGGTGGCATGGTGGAGGATGCTGGACTCATATATGGCCGACCATAATTCAAATCCTGGAACTGGTTGCTTGCTTTCTCACTTTCTCTTTCTCACACTGTCCCTCTCTGGTCAAATTAAAAATAAATAAATAGATAAAGTTA